GAGAAGCGAATAATTTGGGAATAATATGAAGATAACGAACATTATTCAAGCTCAAAAGTCTATAAAACAATACGAATTGGAGCAGAGCAAACACGGATCTCTAAAACATCAGAGGTGAGATCAGGTGCCATGGAGGAGTGAGCATCCCCTGCCGAGCGGTTACACCCGCGCCTTGTGCTCCTTGTAATGAACGGGAAAGAACGGAAAAATCCGTGGTCAATTCAGTGTATTAATAATGGACTCACAATTAGTATATGAAAAACGTCACTCAGCATTTGAATCAATGATAAATTGTATTTGCTAACAAGGTCATTGTATCGCCCATATAACTTAAGAAATGATGCTTTTAAACGAGACTGCTGATATTTTTGTTTCAACAACTTGTTTGTCAATGATTTGGTGGTGAAGGTATTTTGCTGCATAAGGAAGGAAAGTTGACGATAGAAACACAGGTAATCAGAGATTACAGAGCTCACCTCAACGAATGTTGTCTTTTAGTAAGACAAAGTCATATAATTAACTAACATTCTAAAAGTGAACATCCCAAAATGCACAATTTATGCAATTTTGATCTGATAGGGCTTACAGTTACTTGGAAATAGACATATCCAAAACCTTTTAACTAGTTTCCCCATCAAGAAAATGTAATTCAAATCCAGCATAATTATGAAGCAGTTTGAGAGTGTTAATATCTTAATGCATCTGATTCATTTATGCAAGTTTGGTTGATAAAGGCTTTATAGTTTCTTGGCGATAGACCTGCACCCCTTACTTTTACGTGGTCCATTATCTGGAAAATGTATGTCAGATCCAGCATCCGACGCAAGTCTTTTAGTGTGCATCCTTAGATGTATAATACATGCAAGTTTGCTCAAACATAGGACATGAACCTGCTTTAGAATGAACCTGCTCTAAAAACTTCAACCTGTTCACTCATCAATAAAATGTAAGTCAGATTCAACAAGTCCATAAGTGTGCATGAGTCCTTTGATGTTTCATTCATGCAAGTTTGCTCCACATAAAGGCTGATACATGTAGTTCCTTTGAAATGAGACCTGCACGAAAATTTTAACCTGTTTACTCATCCAGGTAATGTAGGTCAAATTCAGCATCCGAAGCAAGCCTGGTTGTATGCATCCTTAGGTGTATTATCCATGCAAGTTTAGTCAATATAGGGCTTATAGTTACTCGTAAATCAGATCTACACCAAAATGTTAACCTGCTCAAAAACATTAACCTGGTCATTACTTTGCTGAAATTGCAGCATCTAAACCTTATCTGGTACAATGAAAAGAAAACTGCTCTAAAAACATTAACCTGGGACGCCAACACCGACGCCGAGGGCATCACATAAGCTACAGTCATCACGTTTATCATAGATCTTCGTTGTTAGATGACCATTAACGCCTTTTTCGAGTAAAATATCTCAGTATGAAATAGATATGTCTAACTCTGTGTAATCGTTTATCAAAAGCTAATCAGGATATATCGCATCGACATAATAATGGAAATTACAATTATTAATTGACAACACGTAATCGATACATCCAAATGTCCAGTTGAAGGCCACAGCAAGTTCTTTCTTCTTTTCACGCATACAATTTTGCACAAATTCTGCTTTGCATGATAACAAAAATAGATCTGCTACTAATAGGGCGCAATTGGTACCCATTGGAATTCCAATTAATTTTAGAAAGACGTGGTCTCCAAAACAATAAAGATAATGTCAATCAGAAGCTTAAGCATCTTTTTGATGCCAATTTCTAAGTACTTGTGTGTACAATCAGAATATTTTTAATAAAATAGTTTTGCAAATGATCAATGACCAGGTAAGGAAATTTACGAGTTCCATTTTTATTGAAAAAGCAGTTGTCAATTATAAAAAAAAAAAGCCTGGATTTTAATTTATCGTGTTAATTTATTGTGTATAAAGTTAAAAGTCGTAAGTTTTAAAACTGTTGATTTCGGTAAAATCTTGTGATTTTAAATTCTTCAAAAGTTCCTTGGAATTTTTAAGTATCATTATCGTATCAAACTTTTTGTATAAACCGGGTATTGTTGAACGGTAATCTTGAAGTTTCTCCTATACTATTGTTAATACTAGTATGTTGGTAAGGAATAAAGAAAGAAGCGGCTTGGTTGAAGATTTACTGGAACCAAATTTGTATATTTCTTTGTAAAGATTTTTATGAAGTTTCGGAATCCAATATATATAATATGGTAGTTCAAAATCATTTTGGTTCTTTATGATATTAAAAACATTCAAAACTGACACCTGATTTTGAAACATTTTCTCCTTAGAAAAGGAATTATGCATAAAAGTTGGATTGCCACTCGTAGAATTAATTTGTCAGCCATCGGCCAGGACCAATACTCACTGATCATGTAATCTATCATGTAATCTATGAATTCTTTTTTCACTTCTGGATTTTTGAATAAAGATGGAAAGATGATTTTATATTTCCCCTCAATCTCTTAATACGCGATTGTAACATAAAGACATACATACAGTTTTCAGGTGATAGTGGAAATTTCAATAATACTACGTGCATTAATATGAAAAGTCTCCTGACCCATATATCTGATGTTTACAAGTTCTTTATATTTTAGACCAATGCAAAATGCAATTTTATCTAAGACATACCAAAAAGGTTGCTATTTTTGTTACCTTTGATGAAAATTTCAATTGTAAGAATATTATACAATTATGGACTCTTTTGGTGTTGAATATGGTCTGTTATTCACCAGAAAAATATTCATATTGACCGAGGCGAAGCCGATGTCAATATGAATATTTTTCTGGTGAATAATAAACCATATTCAACATCAAAAGAGTCCATAATTGTTTTATTATATAGTCCGAATTTGAATAAATAAGACATTGAAGGCTGAATGACGACACCATTTTCATTAACTAACTTCCGTCGTTTTTTTTTTTTTTTCATATAAATAATCCAGATTACAGTTTGTCACCTCCGTGTTTTCCATTTTGAGTTTCTCTGTGTTAGATGTCCAAACGTTTTAAAATAATCCTGCAATAGGTTTGTATAATATTTTTCCTGCTCAGATACGTAGCTCGCTGCAGCCGTTGCAGCCATTGTTTACAACGTTGTTTGAGGTGTTGATTATGACGTCACAATGCCGCTGCACGCGCAATGACCCTCCGGTGAATACGGCCTCAAATCTCTGGTGAATATGTAGTGTTATGAACTGTTTGCGCTTGTATAGATTTTATAGGGAATATAAGTAGACTATATAGTAATGTTGTTTATTTGTTATAAATTGTAGCAATAAGATAATTTTGTTTTTGATTTTGTAATGTTTTAGGTTAAACACAATTCAGTGAACATATTATGGAATTTGTGCATATTTTCCATGATGCGCTACGCGCATTGGTTATGTACATTGTACATATAGTAATGTAATAAATTGTATTTTTTGTTTTTGATTTTGTAATGTTTTAGGTTCAGACAGTCATTGTAATTTATATTATTTTTTGAGGCTTTTTTTCTTATATAGTTGTTTCAGGTTGTTAATTTCAGGGCCTTTCACCATTTACCGCTTGTACGGTTACCAGGTATTACTAGCAAGGTATAATAAGAGAGACTGCATTCGTTTACTTCTTTTTTTAAATTTATTGAGGAAACTTAAATATCGTAATAGCAAGATGTTTTCTTTCTCAGACAAAAAAGATATGAAAATTATCAACACTTAAAAAAAGTTAAACACAAAGTTAAACTAGAAATGAACATGCAATTGGAAAACGCACTCTTTGGAAATTCTTATTTATACATGTACATCTTGTGTTACAAGTCACAATGCAATGATAAAAATTCAATTGTGCATCTTACGACTATATCTAAACGTATTTTAACATAATTGTAAAGATAAACTTATATCATAATTAAAAGTAATACTTAGATAAAGAAACGCTGACATTTTGAAAGGCGTTATTTTTTAACGTCATTCTAATATTATGTTTAGAAAGTGTATGTCTCAAAAGATTTAATAGTTTATTACAGTAAATACATTTTGAAAAAAAAAAAGAAAAAAAAAAAAAAAGAAGAAAAAACTGACACTTTGTAAATGCGTTTCCAAGTATTTGACAATCATCACTCAAGCATGCAGTCTTATACAATTTCACGATAATTGCTGCCTAAAATCAAATTTTAAAAAAGCAATAAAACCTGCATTTTATCACCTATTTCAATTAGTTAGAATGAAAATTTGCTTTCTATTTCGTGAGGATGATAGATTTCAAGGTTTTCGTAGATTACTGGTAGTTTATATAACCCGAAAATATTCTTGGCACAAACATTTGTATATATAAAAAATGAGCCACTGATCATGCAATGTAAACCTCCCTTATTAAGGCCTTATATGAAAATTGAGAAATGTAAAGTTCTTCTTAACTTAAATGAAAAGTAAAAATAAACCATGCATTTGCCCTTTTTAGTTCACCTTATTGAGATGAAATACTTTTCTTGCAGTGCATTGATAAGTTATTTAGTATCTGCAAGTGAAAAATATACTCCTAAAGTGACTTTTCAAATTCTTTAATCCACTGAGATGCAACTGAAAGACAATGGTCTTGCTTACCTCTATTTAAATTATAGAAAGCTTTTTTTATTTTTTTTTTCTTGGCATCCATAGCAGGAATAAAAAATATGTAACATTTATACGTGTTATTATTAATGATCGTGTAAACCACATAAATAAAGTGAATATACATATAAATGTCATTTACAAAACAGAATGTTTCAAACAATGACAAATTATTATTCTGAACAAATAACAAAATGTTTTATAAAACAACATCCGATATGGCATATCAAATACTGTGTAATGTTTTATGGTGTATTTCTCATCGTACTTCGGCAATAAGTTGTGAACGAAATATGATAACTTCATTGCAAAGAATTACAAATCTAGTTGACTTCAGTTTTTAGCAACGAGACTTTTTCCTTCAAGTTATGGTTTATTTGTTTATGTTAAGTTAATATTCACTGTTGCATATACGATTTACCATTTGCTTCGTTTAACTTTCTAAGAGAAAGACACATTTTATATTAGTTTGATTTTAAAAATCCCGGCGCATTTACGATAAAGTGTTTCTTTCTGACGTGAACACTAAGTCTTCCATTTGTTTTGAATTGTTTTCACCATTTTATTTATATTTTCCCGACGTCTTCTTTTTAACAAAATATTGGTATCTATATCCACAGAAGTTTTTGTTCACATTTATTCTCCTTTAGCTTTAACAAAATGTTCTATAACTTTTCAGGGTTTCCTATTTCTTTAATTTGGAGTCCGACTGCCGGCTGATTTCAAGTTCCATACACACTCAAAACATTCGGAATGATTACTTTTCCTTTAACTTCAACTCCAATTAAACTAACTTTAAACATACATGTATATCTTATGCATTCATTTCTTTTTCTTGTCTTTCCTTTCTTTATGATCTTAAAAGATTTAATTTTATCCTTATCATCCATGTCATGGCATTGAGCATTTCATTTTGACGTTTTTAAGAAAATACTTCTCCTCATTGGCCAGCTCGCTCAGATATATTTCAGATCTATTCTTGGAAGGAAATATTGGGGTTTCCTGTATCAAAAGAATTAATCTTGCATGTAACGTGTAGCAGTAGCACCTACTACACGTTGCCTCTGGTCTGTGTCCTCAGAACTACAAAATAACATACCTGATGTCATTTTAAATCGACTTCAAATTTAAACTTTGATATCTTTTGATTTAATATTGGATAGCAGAGAATATTTGTCAACACAGACAAGTTACGTTATCTTCATAGAAACACTGTTTATATCAGAGTTTGAGTAGTGTAGAAAAGATACTATCAGTTATGATTTAAGAATAACATGTTACCCAGCTAATCTAAGATGCTGAAGATTTTCCACCATTTCTGCTTGTTTCTCCATGAGCTTTTTATTTTCCTCCAAATTTTTACTTAGTGACAAGCTCTCCTGATGCAAAGATTTGAATCTGTATTTGGAAAAAAAAATACTATATGCTCTTATGATACATTTAGTTTGTCTCTTATTGTTATAATGAATAGAAATGACGTAGCATCCAACCCTAAAAGCGAAAATCAAAATTTAAAATTCAGAATTCTTTTTGTAACCTAAAATGCACTCCTAATCATGTGCCAAAATATGAGGATATATATATTTACAGAAGGAAATCGACCCTTTTTTATTCTCAACCGCCTCACTGTGAAATCTTTTAATTTCTAAACCCCTTTTCACAATTTTCACATTGTAAGAACTCTGAATCTTTCGTGTCTTAAGGTCATACGCAACGTAGTTTGAACTTTATTGGGTTCTTCCCTGGAGTTGAAGAGTTCCACTAAATGAAGGACCTGTGTTCAATATTTTTAATGTCTATATTTAAATTCGTATACCTCTTCTAAAACAATTTTTGATGAAAAAAAAATCTGGGATTTATGTTTTGTAATTTTTGCACATTTTTCTTTGAAAAATGCAAAAATTTTCATAATTTGATACCTTTTCAAAACCCCTCGAAACGCATGCTGATTTTTTTTTATAAGAACATGTAATGGTATTATAAGTTTAAATTTAGAATATCTTGAAAAATTATCAGTAGGTAAAAGGTACCATGCGTATGTCCTTAAATTGAAATATTTTGTATACATCATGTATATGTATAACTTTATACCTTCAAATGTTATTTTGGCAATCACTAATTATAATTATTGTATATATTACAGGGAAAGTTTTTTTTAAATGTTGTAAGTATACTATAAAGTATGTTCAAAACAAACAAAAACAATTTCTTTTTGCTAATAAATGGGAATGCAGTTACGTTACAATTATATTTGGTTTTAAAAAGCATTTAATATGCTTTTAAATTATCATTATAAAAAGGATGCATCAATAAAGTTATTTAACTGATTTTTCAATTGTATAAATTTTACTTTACAGATAGACTGATTCATACCCTGACTCAAGTTTATATGCGATACTTTGAAAACTCTTCAGCGGCGCCATGGACTCCTGAACACCAGTACTCTCCCTTTTGGCGATCATATAGCCTGTAAGGTCTTTCGCTTCCTTCGGATTTGATTCATAACCCGATTCAATGGGACCTTGGCTGGGAGCAGTACCATATCCACTACTAGTGCTTCTAGATTTAGTGGCATATCCACTATCTTCGTTAGCATTTACCACAAGGTGAGTTGTTTGGAGCATTGATTGTAATACAGGGGGTAATCTGGAAGAGATATCTTTGCACTCTTTCTCCATCTGAAAATTTTAATGAAGACATTTCATTTTGACTTTTGATTTTTTTTTTCTTTCTTTAAATGAAAATCACTTAAATTTCTAAACAGCTTCACATGCATAATGTATTACATTTAAACTTATTTATGGTTATCAAAATGAAATTCAACATTCCATAATAAATCATATTTGCTGCTTCAAAGTGGTAAATATAAACCAAAACCTATAATTTTCTTGATGACTTGCTTACCTTCTCCATACGTTTACTGAGTTTATCACAGCATTCTGTGACTGAGGCTATATTCTGTTCTACTTTCTTTGTTCTTTGTAGATTTTTTAATAACAATCTAAAAATAAAATAAAAGAGGTAAAATTCTTTTTTTCTTTTATAACTTAAGCCATTGGTTTAAAAATACGATTATATTGCCATCAGAGCAATCTACTTACGATATTTGCTTTCCAACGACATTGTAAACCTTTGTCAGATTCATTAAACAATGGCTTTGTAAAAGGGAGACAATCTGTACACAGAGATCCATTAGCTTTGATCTGAAACAGTCAGTTTAAAGCCATTTATAAAAGCTATCACAGGACTACCGATATTGCAATATTGGTCTACCAATCTGAGGCAATCGGGAGTGTTAAGGTCCGGTCATAAATTCCAAGGCACTAGATATCAATTAAATCGACGCACTGAATTATGTAATTTCAGGGAATATTGTTTTTATAACTTCTCTCAGACGAACATATAAATATCGAATATCTTCAGGATAAGAACCTTGCACAGTAGATTTAAGGCAAATGATTATTTTTGGACACGTTATATCTGAGGTTTCTCTTTCATACTTAGACATTACAAAATTCGAGTGCAAAAGCTATATAGCTAAGGTGGCATACGAGACTCCCCTCTGTCGAATTGAATAATGTACTGACAAATTAGTATTCGGTGAACTGTTTTAACGATATCGTGTAGTGTTTGAAGATAATGATACCTGTCCGCCTCATGTCCAAAACTCTCTTCTTCTGGTAGAATTCTTTGCTTCTTTTGACGTAGAAAAACGTGATGTATATCACACACCTTGGAACTTATATACTCAGCTTTCTGGAAACTAATTTTAAATTCCAATCTTCATTTCTTTCAATAATCTGATATCTTACATAAGTACTGTCGGGAAAGTAAATAATGTAATAATTTAACTGAACTATTAACCAATGATACTGATAGTATATAAAGGGCTGGCGGGATACATGTAGTATATACATGTAATAATTTAATTAGACTAATTACCAATGATCCTCTTCCATACAACCAACACACACAGCTATAGCCTCGTCCTCCTGTTCTTTAATTTTCTGCATGAGGACCTCCATATAAACTTTACATTCCTGTGACCTAGATTCCGCCTACAAAATGCCGTACACCAAGAATCAGTTTATCATTCATATATACCAAACTGTTTTCATATTTATATCTTTTATCGATATAAATTAAATTTTATTCTTTTTCCCCTCTTTGTTATAATATTACTTTAAAATAAGATTGTAAAGAACTGGTAAAATGCGTCTTCGTTTACTTAATGGATACAAGTGACCGTGAATGATATATCGTATGTCTAATGATAAGTGTCATTAAAACAATATACTAATATATCTTTTACAGTAATTTCAACAAAATCAATGGACCCTGAAAATTTGAGAGATGGAATCAGATGCCTTGAAGCAAGCATCCCCAGCTGACCGGCTACATTCGCCCTCAGCCCAACGCATTGATCAGGCAGAAGGAACATCCCATTCGGCAGACTCGGCATTAAAACGTTTCAAAACAATGGTCTTTCAATCTGTATGACAGAGAGCCAAAATACGACCCAATGATAGGCTATAAATTATTTACAAAGTCCTTGTATCGACCATAAAATTTACGAAATGTTACATTTTACAAGGTGTGAAATCTCTATAACATCAACTACATGTATCTATCAGTATAGTATGTCTCGGTTAAAATGTGATCGTATTTGGATCCTATTCTAAAGTATCGAAAAAGTTGGGAAATGTGCATGGAAACACCATATGCAAGTGTTAGTGGGATGTAGACGTATAAAGAACGTGGGCGCTTTTGATGGGCATTCGGCAGGAATCTAGACGTACTTGAAAAGTGAAAATTTTATCGACATATCACATGAAATTTTAACATTTTTTTTCATTTATCGGGTTCCTGTGCAACAGGAAAGGAAAATATTTTCCTGAAATTGAACTCGGATTAGCTAAAAAAATAACTTGAAAATTGGCCAGATCAGACATTTGGTACAAAAAGGTACATTTTTAGACACGTTTTTCTAAACTTTTTCTTTCTCTGGGTCTTCTCTCCATGATTTTGAAACGTTATTCGTGTGTATTTAAATTCAAAGAAACGAATACACTTTTTTAAAAAATGGAGAGAAGACCCAGAGACCACGAAAAATTAACTTTTCCCCAAAAAATCCAAATGTGTGAATGTGGTGCTTCTTTGTCCTTTTAAAATTCTCCATATACATGTAGCTGTGATAGCTCAGTAAGTTGTGTTGCCTGCTCACTGCACTAGAAGCGAAAAGTTTTTGGTTCGAGCCTGGCATGGGGCGTTAATTTTTTTTTTTCATGCAAACAACCATTTATTTTGTCAGTTTTATTTTATGTTCTTATGTATTAAAATTTTGAATTAGATAAATTTTGGTTCAGTTTGGTTCTCGAGCGAAATTAATTCAGAATCTAATCTTCTATTCTATAATGTACATGTATCATGCATCTATGCATTAAATATTTTAGGTGTTTATTTTTGGAGAAACATTAATATGTTACAGTACCCCCAGAAAAAACGGACATAAATGTTACAATTTCACACGGTCTTTGAAACTAAATGAAAAAAAAAACTATGGTTGAAAAATCTGACCAGCTATGTTCAGCCAACCAAATCATGGACATTTAAACCATAAATGTTTCGTACAAATGATTCCTGCAGATTACTCGCCAAATGCACCCATCTTCTTAGGGAAGTAGACAATAGAAAAGTTGGTCATCTTGACTGTCATTAAATTTTGTTTTTAGTTAGCGTCATTATCTTCAGTAATTAAAACATCCAAATATGAAACATATGTGGTGGTCCCTGTGCCTTCCTCTAATTTAACTGGGATATATCGAATCGACTTGTGATTAAAAGTAAATTATGAAAATTTTTCATTGATAATACGGCCTCGAATGTCGAAATGAAGGACAAAGCACTGCAGTGTTTCCCTTTCTCATATTCAGCAAGGAAAACTTTTCTCATGCTAAGCTGTTTTAGAATGAATGTGTAATTATTATTTTTTTAAACATATTTTCAATATCAACGATGCAAATATACATTGTAATTTTTTAATGAGAGAGAGAGAGAGAGAGAGAGAGAGATAGAAGAGGTAGGATAGAGTAAGAGTCCGTCACGTTTCGTTACCTTGTTAAGCACTGTCCAAGGATTTCTATCACTATAAACACTTTGTAATTGGTCCAATAAATGCTTCAGCTTATTTTCTGTATCTGATATTTTCACAGATTTGAGAATTACATCATAGTTTGTCCACATGGATTCATAACAGTTGTAAAACAAGTCCTGCCGGGATTTATGTTCCATTAATACTTTGCACATGTCCGGAATGCAATTATTTATTTTTCGTGTTATTCGTAAAATAAAGTCTCTGAAAAAAATTGTAATGTACATTAAGAAGTAGGTTTTATTATTATTGCCTAAAAATAAAACAAAAATTTTAAAGATAACGAAAAGTATATAAAAAAAAAATGGTGATAAGAGCATAAAAAAGACGCCTCAAAAATGTATAAGTTGAATAATTGATCTTCAGAGAATTTGATTATGCATATTAAATCAGTTGAAACATAAAACATCGAAGAGACAATGTTGAAATATTACTCTCCTAAAGGAGTGAAATTGACGATGGAAAAAAATGAAACATTCTTTAAATGAACACAGATTTTAGTCCATGTTCCATAAATATACCATATGCTCGAAAAGCAGCAATAAATCAAAACTGAAAAAGTGGGTAAAAACAATGCGACTGAGAGCCAGAGACTCTTAAAACACTATACAAAAAGGCTGCTGTAACTCAGCTATTTCGAAGATACAGAACTGAATATGCTTATTGATTATAACATGTATGAACAGTTTGAAGAAAATAAATCATTATAAGTACAATGCTTCACTATTCACTGACTTAACTTTGAAATAGTTCAATACAAGGATGGCGTAAAAGTCTTTTAAATATTAACATTAATCTATACATAACTTGAAGTCAAAATATCCATCTTAATTCTAGTACTCCGTCTTGATTTAAAGGACTTGAATTATTTCGCGATCATGACAAGGAGCCCACCGGGGGTAATGCTTACTCCTCCATGGTACCTGACCCCACTTCTGATGTTTTGGAGGTCCGTGTTTGCTCCGCTCCTATTTTGAAATTCTTAATGGATTTTTGAGTCGAATAGTGTTCGTTACCTCCACATATTTCATGGCAGAATGAATTAAATGTAATATTGTAAAAAAAATAATAATAATTTAATCAATAAAAATACGTATTACAATATATATTATAGCAAAATAAGAGTTTGAAAGAAAATCTCCTAATCTTTTAATGAAAACTACCCCATGCAAATAAACCTGAAAGTATTTAAACGGTAAATCACACTATTCAAAAGCTTAGTTTACGGTTAATCTAATCAAGATTGGGCCAAGTTCAAAATATTAAACTTCCTGGTCTTAGCATGGACAAATCATGGCGTGTGTATTTCACATTTGTTGACTAATTGTCAAGTAAAGAATCAGGAAGTCTTCCCTGTTTCTGATACCGGTACCTGTTATTAACTATGTACTTAATGATATTTTAGTGTTGTATTTCAGGTCTCTTTCTTATTCATTAGTGATATTCAGCTCTTCAAAATGCTGTCTTAAGGATAAATAACATTTAAAAAAAAATCAGAAACCAGCAATATTTCTCAGAGATTTATATTTGAATTGGTAACCTGAATAATAATGTTTACCGTTAATAATGGGAAAATTTTCTAAGATTTTTTTTCAAAAGGTTAAAAAGCTGTGCAAAATTGTGTATTTAATTACTTGTTATAAAAAAGCAAAGCAAAATCTCATATATAAGCATCAAAGAAGAAGTACGATTTCTATATATTTGTAGGCTTCATTATTTATGTCATTTCTAATCAAAATCAATCACACAATTTATATCAATCTATGCATCATTTTTTGTTTGTGGTGAGTACCTTTAATGTAAATACTTATAAAAAAGGATCATCGGTGTATTTCCAAGCTGAACGCTTTTAATAATTTACATTTAAAATAAGTCTTTGAATGGAGATATATAATTCTTTGTTTAGACATAAGATTACCTTAGAAATGTCTCCGACTGCAGCATTATATCTTGTTGTGTGATACATGATGCCACATAGCGTTCTATCAGACAAGAAATGGCGGCCATTTTATGGGCAACATAACAATCTCGATCCAAATTTATCTTAGATGGAAATTGTGGCAAAGGTGCTAAAACACAGGTTTTATAAATAACATTTAAATCGCAGCAAAATTTAAAGAATTTGTTACCAATACCTTATATATCATGGGTTACAACTTTTACTTTTACTTGTCCCTAATCAAAGTAATTGACATATAAAACCTAAATGCATAAAGTTTTAGAGCTGTCTCTGTGCAAATTCTTACGTATTTCCGGTAAAACAAGTCTTTGTTGGTCTAATTTTTCTCTTTGATATAAATACAATTGTCCACGTAATATGTTTTTGGGCCAATTTTGCACCTCTAAGGTCCCTTCAATAATTTCACTCAATTCACGGTTATGGAATAAAATAAGTTGCTCTCCTGCAGCTATATCTGTAGTTATTGCCAATCGCTCTTGAAACTTGGCATACCTAAAAAAGCACAGCATGAAATTGATGTTTTTGTCAATTTATGTACCTGACGTATAAATACATCAGAACTAATAAATAGTTATCCTGAATATTCTTAAATTTTTATAATTGTTTTTTTATGTGGAAAAGAAACCCTTTCTAGAAATTGTCATAAAACTTACCTATCTGTTTTGTCGATGTATATTTTGTCGTTTAATCCAGTTGAGCAATCAAATACTTTTACTGTGATTTTATTCATTATTTCATCAGTTGCATCAAAAAATCTATCAAAGCTCCATCGTTTATTTAGATTACTTTCCAACAGTCCAGCTATTATTGGCGTAATTAAAGACTTAAGTGAGCTGAAATAACAATAGTAAATCATATTGATCATTGGTTCTTAAAGCAATCCTTACAAGTTACCAGTATGTTTACACAAATTGTTCGCATCAATTATTCTTTTGTCAAAATACATTGAGAAAGTAAAAATTTCACTTTTCGAAATTTACAGTCATTGTCAATCGGATTATTTCTTAATATGATCGTATTAAGAAATAATTTGATTGACAATTACTGTAACTGGTACGTACGAAGATAAATAAGACGTCCTGGGAAGTTCCGTTTGCCACTCTATGTCCCCACCTTCCGTTCGCTGTATACCTGATATTACACCAGACTTCTTCTGAGTAGTGATATAATGCCTATTTCACAGAAAATATTCATAAGTCACATGTCATAAAAACCCAAATATATTTATCTTTTGTATCTTTTGTGTTTTCCAAACTTCTTTACTATAAGTACGTGTATAATACAAAAATATGTTTCTAGGAATGATGACGTCATATGAAAATATGATGTCATTTTAAGATGACGAACAATTTTTCAAACGAGGCAAACTAATGAAAAATAATCTATGCAGGGATATCAACAGTCTTGTTTAATGTCAACATTTCGCAAATTTTTTTATGTCAATATGAAAATTTTGTAAGCAAATACAATCTGTCGTTAAGTCGGATGTTGACCGAGTTTAATCTCGTAGGTTATTTTTCACCCCTTTCCCCGTTTACAAAATCATCATTGTCAAGGCGCACGAGATAGGTGCGAGAGTTCCACAGGGGGTGCTTTAGTTATCATAGGCACCTGATCTGCCTCCTATATTTGAAGAAGACGGTATGAACTCTACTCAAAATTTGATTTTGTTCCATGGATTTTAATACAAGTATACTGTCCGTTATCGTCATAGTTCACGGTAAGTTTTTTTTAATCTTCCATTTTTCAAAAATATGCACAACCTTCACCGGCATACGGTGACGTCTCCATATGAGTGAAAAATTCTCGAGAGCAAGGTAAACAATATACAATTAATCAATCTATCTATTTATTAATAATTTGACATCACGAGACGTCAAACATTGGGATTGTTGAAAAAAAACTATATAAAGAAGTTAAACTGATAAAAAATTAAATTTCTAATCATTTCTTTTTTCTCAGGTAGTTTTAGCATATCTTTTACTGTCATCAAAAACTATAAAAAGAAGTTAAACTGATAAAAAAAAATTTAAATTTCTAATCATTTCTTTTTTCTCAGGTAGTTTTAGCATATCTTTTACTGTCATCAAAACCTTTAATTAAACTCACATAGTTTTAGAATTACTTCTTCCTCCATAAGGTTGAAAAGGAAGAGAACCAGTGGCTACGTGATATATAGTTACACCTGCAACAAAAAATATTCTACACTGTAAGCAAAAATATCTTACATCTGAAACAAAGAAATATTTAAGACCTCATCAAAATATCTTACACCTAAAACAAAGAAATACTTTACACCTAAACCAAAAATATCTTTCACTAAAACAAAGGAAAAATAATTTGCATTCTTTATTACGAGAATTCAAATACTCACTAATATGTCATGAATTATAATTTTTGCTGTGTAATTATGCCTCAGAGATGATCTTTCAGTGTATGTTAAACAATTCAAAAATACTGACATATTAATCAAAATATAATTATAATACATAGATAGTGCAAACCTAAACTCCATAGATCTACATCAGCATCGTATACATTTCCAGTTGACAATCTTAAAACAGCACGCTCATACATGTTTGGGTCCTAGACAAAATCAATTGAAATTAATAACACCGACTTGAAGCTATTTTTCGTGATTTTAATATCAAATTTAAGAACATTTTTAAGATCTCTAGTGCTTAATGCAGCTATAGGCAAAAATATGCAGCAAAATACTTGGGCAAAATCTTTTCCTTAGAATATAGTTTTTGTAAGATTACGACAAGATCAAATCTATGCTCTGCCTGATAAGAAACATTTTTCAATTGAGATAATAATAATACATGTATCCCCCTGTTCTATATATCGAATGTGTAACATACTAAATATTCCTCTGTTCCATATATAGATGTAAATGTTTCCTCTTCTTCTAAATTTCTAGCTGCTCCAAAGTCTGTTAGCTTGTATACTGATCTATTTAAAAAAAAATAATGAGAAAATGGACTCGTGTAAAGAATCCTAATAGTTTAATTTTACAATTTATTGAAATAATTTTATGAATAAAGAGAAATGTTGACTTAAAACAAGCCTATTGATATCCGTGTATCATCAACTTATTTGTCTAAAGCTTGTTTTTTTAAAGAAAATCGCACGCAGAGTATTAAGGAAAAACATCAACGCCAAATGCAAATGTTAACGGTACATTGCTTTTGAATACATATCTACAATTTATTTCAGGAAACAGTTACCTGTGTATTATTATTTGTTTTCCATATCATAATATTGTGTTTAATAGATTAAGAATTAACATCTTATGGTATTCATGATATAATAGAATGAAACACCATATAACTGAACGAAACAGAACGGTAAACTTATTCTTTGGGCTCTAATTTTCAACAGAATTAAGTCAAAAATTCAAGAATTTTAATAAAAATTTAATCTTATTCTTTTGTTTGTACTATCATATTCATATTCCCCAAATATTGAATGACTTGCATAAAAAAATTCTTATTCAATTCTCTGACATCACTTTTTTAATCAGAAAAGGGAAGAGTAAAAGCAAAAACGGACTTCCCCACTTTAAACATAATATAATCCTTTTTTTAAATTTGTGTTCTTTGTATGAACTGTGATAAGACCAGGAAGATTTCAAAATGCTGCCAAAATATCAAAGTTTTAAAACCTTTCAATAACAGGCTGTCATTTTGTCAGCATTTTTAATCATGAATAAGAAAATTTACAAGAAAACCATCATATGTACTTTTTTGATCAATGATTCACAAAAAGCGTTCACCAAAAGCAGTGTCTTTCAGTAAAATTTATTTCAAAGAATTTCTCAACGCATAGAAAAATAAAATGAAGCTTTTTTATTACATGTAGCTAGAGATGTTTGACCTTGTTTCAAATTTTGTATGTTTTATAATTAGAGCAAAAATAAAGAAATAATAAGAAGAACCAATTACTTTTAATTCGTATATACAGAAAACTCTCAAAATGAACTAAATAGAAAATATTCTCATGTGGAATATTCTAAAATAAGTATGTAACATTATTGAATTTGTGTTCTAATGTTTACATATTTCTACCTACTTTCCATTTTCGTCTATTTTGCGCATGATATTTCCAGGTTTTATATCTCTGTGAGTTATCTGCATTTTTCGGAGGTATTGGATACCATCACCTTCAGAATACAAAGCACAAAAATCAATATGGAGAAATTCACTTTAATTATTATCTAGTACAGAAATGAAATGTTTAATTCATCATTATACATGTACAGCTCAACGCACTTTCTAAACACATAGTGTTATTATGCGAAATTGTGTAACGAGTCAACAAAATACACTTTAAAAGTGATACTTTCCTTATTTTTTTTTTAAGTTTATTTAACTTACTTTAATTATAATTCACACATAATGATTGGTAAGATCTTGATATACTCTTGGCGGATGGATTGGGATAGTTCTCAAATGGTTTTTTCCGTGGTTTCTCGTCAAATGTACCCGTTCTTTTAAAAGCAGTTCTTTTTTCTTGAATTGACTCAAAAACAGTGCAAATCATGTAACTTTTGTATTTCTGTACAATAACATGACTCTGTAAAGCGCAAGATGATAATAGTATTTCTCATTTGTTCGACTGCTTTTCATGTTAAAGAGCTGGCATTTTTTTTAGTTACTTTCTGAATTAAGCATCATGAAAGATAGACTCGACCGCAAAATTCTTAAGTTTCAGAACCAAAATGTAAAACAATTATTTTTTCAATCGTAACAATTTACTATTTTAAAAGATGAACAATACTTCTTATCGTGTCTTTTGGCACGATTTCTTTGTGCAGCATTTTATTTTTATTTTTCGGCGCTACATTTCGACAAAACCAAGACGAGTATGGAAAATGTGCAAATTAATTTAATTAATTTTAAAAAAAAATCAATTTTAAGATGACAGTTTGAAAATTTCATATAAATAATATATAATACACTGTATAAATAATAAAGCTGGACAATTTTAATTTGTAAATACCTGTGGTGAATTCATACTGATGTAATAGGCCTATCATATCATTTATCAATGAAGTCCCATTTAAAAATCTTTAAGATTATGAATTTAAAGAATACCGGTATGTACCTTTAACATAAGATATTAAATACATATTGTGGCTATGTCTCGTATTAAACATTGATAATGTTCATTTCATTGCAAAAAGAATGTGACCTTGATTTGTGCGAAAAACTATGTGAGCTTAGAAAGTGCGTTGAGCTTTACACATAGACCATTAATGAATTCTTTGAAATACCAAAGACAAATTTTGAACTTAACACCTAAAAAAAGGAAATTCGAATATCCTTCTCTATTGAAGTTTTGAAAGTCTAAATAAAAGTAATACGCATGCATAAATGGGAGCTTACTGATGTCATGTAGGACAATGAGAAACTCTTCCTCTGGAAATCCAAATGAATACTTTGGTTTATCTAACATTGCATAAAGACTTCCACCTGAGCAATATTCCATTATAATGACATCATTTCCAGTATTAACCTGTCAAAGACATTGAACATCTGTCAAAATTTCTGAAAATTTTATTCAAATCTTAATTCAAAACTAAGAAAATCGATACTTCTCTGGTAAATTTTCGAAAATTATTGTAAACAATGAATCTTTGACTTTCATCATTATTTTTTCTATAGAATTGAACATAGGTTTTAACTTTTTTAAACTATAGCTAAAATTTCCAACATTTTCATGATTGCAGGTTCATTTTAGATGTATGTACCAAACGCTTCACTTGTTTTTTAAAACCTAATTTGAAACAAAGCAGAGGAAGTGATTAAAATGACGAGGACGTTAAATCAAAACTTCGTATTACACAATCAACTTCATGGTTCTTTATGTCTCTTGTTAAATTTCGGAAAAGTAGGGAGAAGTAACATTTTGATTTTTCAAAAGTCATTTAAACCAATTAATGTATGTTAACTGGTCGTTCTGATATCATATTCAAGTACATTTTTCAGGTGCAAGTGCATAGGTTAAAATGCATTGCAGAATATATTTTGTCTGTTATTCATCAAATGAATGTCTTGATTTACAAACTGTAAAAATCTGTTTTCAACAACTTTTTTCAGAAAATGTATTAATTGGAATTTGATTTCGAAACCAATTTTAACTCTTAGAATCTACGTTAACATTATTTTAATAATACCTTACATCTGAAATCATTTTTATCTTGAGGTTCAATGAAGATATAATCTTCAGGCTTAATGTTTATAAGAGACTACAAAAAATCCGCTTGTTGCCAATGGTCAAACTGTTACTCATAAAGGAAAAAAATAGTAAGACTTACTAGTACTCGTAATTATCTACAGAACTGTTTGAATATACAGACGAAGGACAAAACAAGATAATACTAACATGAAGAAGAGGTTCAAATTTCAGATATTTAGAAACAAAATGAAAAATTGTAGAAAGGCAGGAAACGGATATTATTTCTACAAGGACCATGTTTTCTTCGTTCAAAACTGATCCCACAAATTTATTTTTTAATCTGCACCTCCTAGAATAGAGCAAAAAAAATATCTGAATTTATCCATCTCGTTATGTTTATTTTAACCCCGTCTCTAACCGCATTTGGGAAATGCCAACAAGATGGCATGGATTGCCAAACGAATTGTTTGAATTAAAAAATAAAACAATCATTTCTTTAATTTTTCAGATCAATATAAGTCAATATGATGATTTATTCATCTAAGGAGTATAAGAATTTGTACTCTAATCGTACTGGGTGGCTAAATCACTGTATTGGCTTCGAAAAACAGCAAAGCATGTGTAATGTTACCTCCTTTTCTCGCCCAAGTATGCCGATGATGTTGCGGTGCTTCATTTTCAGTAGAAGTTCGAGTTCCCGCTCAGGAACAGAGGAATGGAAAGCGGACACGCGGTCGTGGAACACCTTCACAGCAAACACCTCCCCCGATGTCTGTTGACGGAAAAAAAGACAAATATACAAGAGAGAGGGACAGAGAGACGGAGAGGGGAAAGAGATAGATAATCACTGCCAAAGAGACCACTCGGCAGGGAATGCTCATTACTTCATGGCACCTGATCCCATTTCCGACGTTTTAGAGGTCCGTGTTTGCTCAATCTAATTAAAATTAGATCTTTGATCCGCTCCAGTTTGATCGCTTTGTGTAGCGATCAAACTGGAGCGGATCAAAGATCTAATTTTAATTAGATTGGTGTTTGCTCTACTCCCGATTTGTATATGACTGTAATTAGGTTTTTCCACCTTTCTGTGGAAATACCTCTTGAAATGCTTATGTTTCTTATTATTTTATATCTCACCTTATGTTTTGACAGCGTAAGACTTATCGAAAACCTTTATAGTTCATGATACTGGATATTTAAAGTTATTCCGAAAAATGACCCCCCATGTTTTAATTTAGACCCCTTATGCAGTTATTGCCCCTTTCACCGTAAAGCTTGTTATCGCTACTCCTCCGAAACCGTAAATCGTAGAGATGCAAAACCTTCACTAACGTCTTCAACTAATTTAGGAGAATTTTCAATCTATTCATTGCAAAAGTTTTTCTTTGACCCCTTCAATGAGTAACTGCCCCTGAAACTTTATAAATTTTATAAAAAAAAAAAAATAAAAATTTTCAAAAGAAGACGTCGTAGAGACATGAAACCAACTGCATTAGTTTTATTGACCTTTGACCGTCAAATTTATTTCAAGGTCAAAGGTCAAGGTCATTCCAAATATGAGGAATAAATTTCTTCTAATAGCTCTTAAATCCTAAAACATATACTATCTTTCTTCTGTCTGTAATATGCACTCTTAATACTCGTTCGAAGATTTCATTCTTGTCCCCTAAGATTGACCCTTTTAAAAGTTAGTGCCCCTTGTGCGAAAATTCTTGTTATCGCTACTCCTCCGTAACCATAGATCGTAGAGACACCAAATCTTCACTAGTGTCTTAAGGGTCTTTATGTCTAACTTCACTGTATAAGTGCGAAAGGATCTGATGGCCCCTTATACGAGTTATTGCCCTTTAATATCTTTGTACTTACTATTAAACCTTATAACTTGAAAAGTATAAGACGTAGAGGCATGGGGTCAATTGAATTGTGACCCTTGACCATTTACCTTGAAGATATTGTCAAGGTCAAAGTTCAAGGTCATTTCAATTTTTTTTTAATTTTCATTTTTTTTATTTATCCTTTTAAGACACTTTTGTTTTCTTACTCATTTAAATTAATTTTAATGAGTCAGATATAAAACAAAATTGAAATTCAAAGAAGGTGGAAAGACCTCTTAATGTTCTTTGAACAATAAGTCTCCTAGTTATTATTTTATTTCTGGAGATGTTTTGAAACCACAAGACTTATCGAAAATCTTTATACTTCATGATACTGGATATTAAAAGTTATTCCGAAAAATCACCCCCACATTCGATCTTTGACCCCTTTCAAAGTTATTGCCCCTTAGGCCAGAAATGCTTGTTATCACTACTCCCCCAAAACCGTAAACCGTAGAGGTATGAAATCTTTACCAATGTCTACGACTACTTGAGAGGACCTTTCAAACTATTCATTGCGAAAGGATTCGCAAAGCCCTTCAATGAGTTTTTGAATTTTACAAATAATCTAATATTTTCAAAACAAGAAGTCATAGAGACATGGGACCAATTGCATAAGATTCATTGACCTTCGACCTTTAAATTCATGTAAACGTCAAAGTTCAAGGTCATTCCAAAAATGGAAAATTTAGCTCTTTTTATATCTTTTTTGTCTTTTAACATATACATAATGTCTATGCATCATTAATATGTACTCTTAAAACTGTTTCAAAGATTTCACTCTTGTCCCCTAAATTTAATCCTTTTAAAAGTTACTGCCCCTTGTGCGAAAAACCTTGTTATCGCTACTCCTCCGAAACCGTAGACTGTACAGACACCAAACCTTCACTAATATCTTAAGGGTTTTTAGGCCTTACTTCACTGTATAAGTGCAAATGGATCTGATGACCCCTTATATGAGTTATTGCCCTTTAAGTTCTTTGTACTTACTATTAAACCTTATAACTTGAAAACTATAAGTCATAGAAGCATGGGGGTAACTGCATTGTGACCCTTGACCTTAGACCTTGAATATTTTTCAAGGTCAAGGTCATTCATTTCTTTTTTCTATGCTTTAAGAGAGTTCTGGTTTCTTTTTCATGGAATTTAATTTTTAAGAAGTCAGGTATAAAACAAATTTAAAATTCAAAGAAGGTGGAAAGACCTCTTATTGTTCTGTGAACAATAAGTCTCCTCGTTTTTAAATGGACTTGTTAGCGTGAATTCTGATCGTTATCTACAAACATTCTATCAAGTGGTAAATATGCACTTCGGACGCCTCTGTGTCCTTTTTTTTTTTTTTCAAAGGTAAACAAGATGATTTTTTAAGATAACCATGATTCATGACAAGATAATGTAATATCTTGATTACATTTATTTAAGTGATTAATATTAAAATTAATATTTTCGAAGAGAAATACAAAATGGACATTTCTTTAAAATCAGAATTAAGAAATTTCTGAATAGTTCTTCCTATGTAATAATACTGGAAGACGTTATCATGGTTACTCAAAATTATAGAAAATATGTCGGACTGAAGATATAAGTTGTGGTACATACATGTACAATGTACATGTAGCTTTCTGAGTAGTGATTAAAACACCTGACTATAGTAAAACAAGGTCCTAAGTTAATTTAACATATATCGTGTTTGGTCTTTCTAATTAAGGGAATATTAGTATGTGTTTACCTTGTTTCTAGCTTTGTATACTACAGCTGTGGCCCCTCGTCCGAGTAATTCACCAGTGTTCCACTGATAGTTCAGAGAATAGCTGTAGGTTTTGTCGGGAACTGAGGACATGACTCCTATGTAACATTTAACGTGGCATTAAAATGTCTAAATGTTCGAAAATAGATTAATATCACGTGTAATTGACTATATATCAGCTGGACCTGTACTATAAATATTTATGTACACATGTGCTTATACCTTTTCCATCTTTAATTGGATGTGAAAAGAACAAATGCAATTTCATTTGAAAATTTCTGGAAATCAGATATCAACAACAAGACAGGGAACAAAAATTGTTAATAAATATTTATGCTTCAACACACCCTCACATGCATCGCATTAAGAATTTGCGCGTTAAACAAACAACTGAAAGGGAGTGGCTATCGCGTCTTCTCACCTTAGACAATTTGCACCCGCAATTCCACCGGCATACTTGGGCGCTGCTAGATACACCAAATCTCGGCTGACTCCATACTTTTCAAGTTAACCCGGAAACATTATTCAGAATTTTTAATAATCATTTGGAAAAACCATTTGGGAAATCCGTTCTGAAAACGAAAGAATTTGGACATTGTTGTATGTATTGATCAGTGAAACACTGACTTTAAGGGGATTTAAAAATAAAAATTTTAAGGGCAAGAGATAAGTATACAATGTAATAGAGTAATTGATAATTATAAAACTGAAATAGTAACAATTATTTCTACTTTCGATTTAAACTATGGAGCTCGAGGATCTATTTTTATACCGATCTATGGAAGCCAACATGTGGGAAAAGACTTTAGAATTTTTATATGTATGCACACGCTCCAAAACCTTCCGCCATGGAAGCCCGCGTGGTTTTTATATTAGAACCAAACTTAATAAACTCGAAATACAGGCCGTCTCATTTCTTTTTAGAGAAGGCCTATATGCATTTGTTTTTGTAATTTTTCCTTTAGATGCTGCTCCTCCATTTTTTTTTGCTTATTACAAAATATGTTTAAAGTTTCGTCAAAGGTCAATCCAAAAAATTATTTTTACAATAGCCTCAAAACTACGTGAGTTATAAAGTTAAAACTTTTACAGTTTATAAATTTTTCATTGATTAAGAGATAGAAAGTATCAATTGATAAAAAGAATACTTGGAATAAATTTTTATTGAAAAAAAATCTTCTTAAAAATGCGTATATTTTCAAAAAATACACCTAATTAGTTCCGTGCTCTTAGTGAAAACCATCATTGCAGAAACAAAATATGTTTATCAATGAAGGGCAAGTTGGACTTGGATAGCCTCTGGAAAGTTGTTTTCCCTGTTTATTTTATCCAAATGTTAAGACTTGAAAGTGAAAGTACATTGCAAATGGCATATTCTATAGGGGTCTTGTCTTTATACATCTCATGCTTTCAATAAAAGCCTTTCAGGTCCATTCACGTCCAACTTGCCTTCAATGATAAACACATATTATTTCTGCAATGAAGGTTTTCACAAAAAGGAAAAAAAAATAAGCAGGTGCATTGTTCTTTATACAGGTCTAGGCGGCCTCTGTTTTTGGAGGATAGTTTTTATCCTCTAAAAACAGAGGATAGAGGTGTCGCCACCTACCGGACTTTTCAAAACAAAGGGCAGTCTACGCTGATTTTTCAACCAAAACAAGTAAAATGTTAAATTTCATGAATACGATGATGGTTAAATCTAGATATTAAGTTTGTTGTTCTGAACAGGACTACAGAGGGCGTAGCTATATTGCATTTTGTATTAGCCTTGTATACTGTTGTATTAGCCAACTAAAATACAGCACGGTCAAAAAATGAATCTGAAGCTAACTGAATGCTGATTTTTTTCCCTTTTATAAATTTTGGAGAAATATATTCCTAGCAATGTATAATGTCAAAATTTCTCAATCATTTTTTAAAAAAATTATTTTTAACAAAATCTACACATTATATTTCGATCCAAACGATAACGAAAATTCAAAGTTACGGAAAAAATAGTATGTTGGATAAGTTCCTGCAAACATGTTTGCTTTCCCTGCTTTTATTGTGTCCCTTTCAAATAAAAGTAAAGTCCATGGGTTCACGGATGCAGCATACATTAGGTGAAATCCGCACCCCCTCCATTTTCCTCTCTTCTCGTGCAAACTCATTCAAGTCCCTTCTTACCCCCCCCCCTATTTAAAAAAAAAATCATCTTAAATCTTTATCTTTGACGACTGCAGTACATCTTCTTACTTCGTTTTTAATGTCGCATTTCAATATTTAACACAATAAAAATCTGTGACATCAAAGCCCATCGAAGAACTGCCTATATCTGCATCTAATTAAACTGAGATTTTAAGACCCCTGAAATAAATTAGGATCAGTCTCCATCTACAGCAAGGTTAAACCGTCCTCTTTCTCAGTTAAAACTGAATAAAATTCAATCACGTCTATCCCAGTGTAAAAACTAATCTGAATGAAACTTACGTTGTCCGTGGAAATATATATACTGCGGATGCATAATCCCCGTCGAGGCCTCATATAGGAATTTGGATGTTGCATAGCTATAAAGTGGGCGGCGGTGCTTTTTCTTGATTTCTCTAAATAATACTTATTTTATCTTAAAATTGTTTTATTTGCAAAAATTATCAGACAGAGTATTTTTTTTCTTTACAGTACATTTTCTTTTGTGTTTCCTTTTTCTCTAATTTTGAATTAAATGAAAATAATATCATGTATGTATTGTTTGAGCATTTAAGTGCCTGTTTATTTGTCTTAGAGGGAAAAGTGTACAGGGAAAAACATAAAAATTAAACAAAATAACAAGAAATATTAAGTAGAAATGAATCGTAAGAAGTGCCAACTTTGAAAGCTTTTTGTAAAAATTCTAGACATAGAATCTCAAATCGCCACATACAATCGATAGTTTAATGTTTGAACTTTTATTTAATTGTACTCTCGTGCTTGCACTTTTTGATTAAAGGTAGGCACGAGGCGTTTGAAAATTACCTGTGTTATCCTCTGAAAACAGAAGATAAACTATCCGACATTGCAGTGCGGTTTCCATATATGGTAAAAAATTTGGCTGCCATATTGAATTTAGCGATCCTCCAAAAATGGAGGCCGCCCAGACCTGTTATATATGCACATTTTCTGATAAAATTTTTTATCAAGTAATACTTTCTATCTTTTAATCAGTGATATATTTATAAACCATAAAACGTTTTGATTTTATATCAAATATAATTTTTGAGCTATTGTAAAAATATTTTTTAGACATGCTGATCACCTTTGACGAAACCTTAAAAGACAATTTTCCAATCATATATCTAACTGCTCGCATAGTTAGCGGCGCGATCTCCACTTCTGACTTCCAGCTCTATCTATACCTTCAAGTTATCGTATTTGTATGTCTACTAATACTAAAGGATTCTTTCATCGTATAACTAGTCCATCAATCTTTGACACTGTTTGACTATGTATAAACCTGTTTTCGATACATCTATATTAAATTTTGTGTCGTTCCCTGGTCCCCAGCTCATTTCCCGTATGAACAAAAGACATTTTTCTTTATAGTGTATGGAAGGACATTTATTCATTCTCAAAGAATGTGTGGTTAAAAACTTTTTGGACTGTATAACAAAAAAAAAGTCCATGAAAGCTCCTTCGGTAGTCCCACAGGCCTTTAGATCGCTTAGAAAAAAAATGAAGTTTATCAAAGAAAAAGTGATCCAAAGATCAGTGGGTAGTCCAAAATCACTGACGATTTCAAGGCTTTTTAACGATTTTGATATTTTACGTGCCAGGAAAACCTGCATGGCATATAAAAAATCAAAATCGTAAAAAAGTCAGGAAAACGTCAGATATTTCAGACTATTTTTTCAGCAAACCGCGCTTCGTCAACAAAATTATAGGTACATGTATAAAGATAAGGTTTTAAGACTGTATAATTATCATCAATACATAAATCGACAACTTGAAGAAAAAAATAGGCACCGACTCTTTCTTCGTCAAGAGCTCGACACTTTTAAGTGAAAGTTGCAGGTCTTTTGAATGAGACCTCAAAACTTGGGTTCTGATATGAGCTTGCGTTGGTTTTATCTCGCGATACAGAACATAGAACATGGATTTTGTTCTTCTGAAACAGTGCTTTCGTTATATGCAAGCTATTTCAAAATAACTAATTTTTTTGTAATTTTTGAGGGAATTCTGAATTTAAGGATAACATTTGACGAAATTCATGACGTCATTTTACTAGTATATTTACCGGTAGCTTGCTACTAGAAATTAACTAAACTGTGAGTAAAGGTATAAACCCAGCAGGCACACAACGTTGTTTAAACGTTGATTAGTTGAAGTTGGGTTTAGACGTTGATAAATCTAGATACAATATTGATTCAACGTTGACTTTTCAAAGTTGAAAATTAAACGTTGAATCAACATTGAATTCAAATTGAGTTGAATTGCCAACATTGATTCAATGTCGGATCTTCGCTGAGCGGGCTAATCCTATTTTTCGCTAATAGATAATTTGGACTATGATAATGTCGGACTATAACACTGTCGGACCATAACGAGGTCGGATTTGACAAATCGCACTACCGTATATCATTATTAAGTATTATAACTAACAAGGATATTAATTGTAGAAATTTTACACATTCAATGATAAATATGAATTCAGTACGAATTTGCCAAAGTACGGATTAAGAGGATACGCAGTAGGACATCCGGAAAATATTCACTCAAAAGGCAGCGTAACACGTACAACCCTCAGGACTCAACACCAAGATTTAAAATACTCTTTAAAGAAAATATTTCGGCATGTCAGAGAACTAGTATCATTGAAGAGACATAATCTGTCGAAATGCATATCTGGTGCATCAAAAGTTGTACTGTATAAGATTTGCATCTTATCTTGGAATGGTTTCATGTTCTGGACTATTTCATGACCACATGTGAAAATACAAAACGTTTGTAAATGCCCGGGTTTTGTAACATGATTAATTTATAAAATGTATTTTGGAGAAAATTATTGTAACACAATTAACTTTTGATAGGAAATTAAACACTTACTGTTAATACTTACCTACAATATATAATTTTTTTCATATAGTGATATACCGTATGTTTTCATTTAAGGGGTCCAGACTCTCTGCTATAAATTTCATTTTAGAAAGTTTTAAATATGTAATATTGGTTTTCATAAACAACAATAACATTAGAGCCACATGGAAAATAGTTTGAAGTATAAAGCGCTGCTTATTTTTTCAGAAATGATTTTTATGTGCAGATCATGAAATGAAGAAATTGAATACAGAGAATAGAAAGAGTAACGATTTATTACCACAACATTAAAAATGATATATGAGGTGCATATGAAAATAATACTTACTATTATTCTTATTTAAATCATGTTAGAAAACATCATGAAGCGATGTTCCCTAATTCAGAAAATCACAATGTTGTATGTGGTTGTAAGTAAAAAATATATCTGTGATGAGGAATTATCTTTCTTCTAAATATTTCTTCATGTAAAAAAAAAGTCATTCTAATTAAAATACTG